ATATTTCATTACACATCTCCAAAGAATAAAACCATTCTCCTATATTACCAGCTTCACACAAGTAACAGTAGTTCTCAAATATCCTCTAATACCCAGTCCATATTGAGGTTTAATTTCTACAAAGAGTTCTGGAGCTTCAGTGTGTTTGAATGTGCTTGTTGTAGATGGTTATAGCTGTTGGTCAGAGTTTTTAATTGTGTTAAATAACCTGTTATAGTATGAACTGTAAGAGCCCAGTGAATAAGAGGTGTTCCTATTTAGCTATTTGGAATCCAGCTTTCTAGCTGCTATTTTGTCCTTTTGCATTTATTAAACCATGTATTGTCATTGCCAGTGACCAGGTACCTTTGCACTGATATTTCATTCACTTACTGAACAATTACTAATGCTGTCTAAGATGTATTGAAGATTTATAGTGTAGTAAACATTGTGGCTTGCTTGCATTAATTTAAATTGTACTGGAGTATGATAAAATAGATATTGCTATCATTTACATTTTAAAGATGAAGAAGTGGACTGAGGAACAGAGAGGCTGAGACACTTGCTCAGGGTCACACAGCTGACCTCAGGTAGTGGCAGAACTGGGTTTTAATCCCAGGTATTCTGGCTGCCCCTCACGACCTGTTGGGTCACCAGACTCTTACCATTGGCTGAAGGAGATCAGGAAGAGGCTGTACTGTACCTGGGTGACGGTTGGTCAGCCCCATCACAGGTGGGGCAGGGACGCAGGCGTGAGGACCAGAGGGGAGCATCATGAGCATGGTTACTGGGAGGCTGCTGGGCCGGAGTAGGGCTCCGGGCTCTAGATGTGGGGGTCCAGGGCAGCTGTGGGGTTCAGACCTTGAGAAGCCAAGGTGAGGAGTTTGGCTTCATCTTGCAGACTTAGGGAGCCTCCGAAGGGCTGGGAGTCTCCTGGAGACAGGCCCTGTCTGTGCTGTGGAATGATGGCTTTGGCTTGAGTTGGGCACATGGATTCAAGAGTGAGTTGGGAGGTGCATCCAACAGGACGCGGGGTTATTACTGGGCACTGCTGAGATGGGGAGGGAGGAGCCAGGGAGGACCTGGTGTTTTGTGCTTGGGTCATGAAAAGTACTTAGAATTCAAGCCACACCAGTGTGGTTCCCAGGTGAGCCTCAGGCTCCCTGGGGAAGACCTGGCCAGTCGTTGCAAATACAGTGAATTGCTTCCCTCCTGGCCTTCTGGAAACTTCTCCTTGTCTTACTGGTACGCTGCCAGCATGCTTTGATAATGGTATGCTTCCCTGTCTGACTTTGAGTTCCTCGAAGCCGGGTGCTTTTTCTGGGTCATCTTAGATCTCTGGCTCTTGATACGAGACCTAGCACTTTGCTAGGTGCTCAGGAAGTGCTTGTGCGGAGATCCCCTCGTTAGCGCCTGACCGCACCGCCCTAGGACTGGAACACCTCTAATAAGGAACCTGCCGTCACCTGAAGTTCCTCGGGGATGTGGACAGAGTTCTTCTGCTACGTTTGTGCTGTACATACCCCTGGCTTTGTGAACATGGCTTTCCTTCTGGCTGAGTGTGTTGGACCAAGGCTTTGCAGTGCTTGTTTCTAAAGAAGTTTCTGTAGCATCAGTGGGGTTAACCTGGGTACACATTTCTTCACACCGGGAAGTGTCTCAGCAGCTTACCAGGGTGTGTGTCAGGAAGTGACTTTTCTGCTCTGTATTAGGTCAAACAAAGGCAGTTCTTCCTCACTTACAGAAGGGATTGATTAGTTGAAATATTGGCCCACAGAGTAAATTTATCCCAAATTTAGCAAATATAAGTAATCTGGAGAAAGTCACTTAATTTCAATTGTATGATATAGGCAAAAAAAGACAACGAAAAGAAAAAAAAAATCCAGCGGTACGGCAGCAGCCTTAATATATGTCTTTAGATGTTTTTAGATGTTTACATGATTAGTTTTAAAGTGTAGCTACGTATTTTATTTTCTACTTTTGTATTTTGTCCTTTCTTTAGCCTCTCCCTTTCTCCGTTACAATGTATTTTTATGTTATGAGTAAACAGTTCTTTCAAACATTTTACTTCTTCCTATTTTTTAATAAATGTGATTGTTACCTAAGTTTTTCAAAATGAAATAATTTTTTTATTTCAAAAATTGTATAAGGCATTTAAAAAAGCCTCAAACTGTTCATTACACCTCTGGGTAAATAAATACTCACATACACACACACACACACACACACACACACACACACACACACACACACACACAGCAAGAGATCCATTGGAAGTCTGCTTTAAAACCCTGATCAGCAAATCATATTTATGCCTAAACAATTAAATTACAGTTTTGTCTGGCAAGTTCCCAATTCCAGCCTTGGAAAAAGTTTGTAATACGTCTTACCCTAACATCAAAACTGTGATTCAACACACAGGCACACCGTGTGTTCAGATGGGTCCCTGCCGTCCGGTGTGCGTGGGTGCCATATTGCATGTCAGCTGGACACATGCTGTACCCTCCAGCTTGGCTCCGAACATCTGTGCTGTTGCAGAACTTTGCCGTATTCACTGTAGTTTGGGTGGCAGGTTTGCGTGCACAAGTTTTATAAGGCTGGTTATCTCCAGGCCCATGTGTTACAGGGAGAGTTGGAACAACAACTTGGATTTGGCGTGCGTTTGAGAAAGTGGAATAGGGCAGCCCAGGATGGAAATGTCTGTGGCTGGAACTGAGGTGGGTAACAGTTTATCACACGGCACTGCTATGTGAGGCACGCCCCACTAGGGACCAGGATAAAGGTGGAGAAGGCATCCCGTCGAAGCCCTCCTGGCTTACAGGGGTTGGCAGGATTTAAAGCACATCCCATCGTGCCAGCAGGGCGGCTGACGTCCTGATAATCCTCCTAATTGGGGCGGCCGCCCATGGCGTGTTTTGAAGTTGGAAGCTCTGAGGACAGCATTCTTGTTCTTTTTTTGGAAGGGATGCCCTTGTCTTAAATAGCAATTTTTGCCTGCAGCTAAAAAGAATGATTACAAAGATCTTTCGATTTGGCCACTGAGTAACCCCTTAGGAGAGTTAGTTGCAGGGAATTAATTTTTGACTGTTTCTTTAAAGTTTGAGAAACTCTGCTAGTCAACCATGGACATCAGGAGGGGATCACTTAATGGACCCCTGGGCAGAGGCAGCTTTGCTCATGTTTCCTTAAGATAATGGCGGTTTGGGATTAACTTGGTTACTTTTTCAGCACTTTTTCCATTTCTACATTTATGTATCTTTCCCTTCAAAATGTTCTTAAGTCCTCTAAAAACACATCCTGTGCAGTTCTCACAGGGATTTATAGCAGGGCTTATTTTTGAAAGATGGGACAGGCGGAGAAGTAGTGAGCAGGAGATCGGAGAGAAAGAAGAGCTTGCTTTGTTGATCACAGGGCATCGTTGTTGATGCTCCTCCTTGAACGTCTGCCTGTAAATTGCAGGGCTCTGCAAGTTTTGGGGAAAGCGTTTAAGTGAGTTGAAGGAAATGGAGACTGCATTCTCTAGTCGCCGGGTGCCTGAGGGCCAGGGTTCAGGCTCCAGCTAGGGTTGGGGTACTGGGGACTCAAGGCTGTGCAAGGATGGGATGGGTCCGATGCTGGCACAAGGCCCTTTCAGATGTACAAGGGCCATGCTGCTTGATACTGTGCCATCTTCTGCTCAGCTGTGGTCATGGTCCAGGATGCTGGGGTGGTGCTGCTGAGCTGGGCTAGAGGGGGCTGTGTTTGGGGGCTTTGGTGATCCATGAGCGAGAGTGTCTGTGTTTCCCCAGCACTCCTGGAAGGCCCCAGCAGGGCAAGCTGCTGCCTAGGATGAGAAGAGGAGCCTAAGTGCCAGGTGTGTGTTTGCCTGGATGTCCCTGGGGTCTGGATGTTGTGGGCTCTGAGGTGGTCACTGGATTTTATAGAAGGAGGCATTTGCAAGGGACTTCAGTGACACATGGCTGTTGCTTCTTGTTTCTCTGTGCCTGACATAGGAGGGGACGGGTTGAGGGTGTGAAGGACATGCCTAGAAAGGCATGTGGCTGGTGACTGGGAGCATGAGGGCTGGGACCAGGGTTCCCAACTGCACGTGTGCACTTTGTACTGAATACCCTGTGTTGGCCGTGACCCTGTGACCTGCACGCTGACGGGTGCACAGCTGCTGGCACACAGCTGTCTGGCACGGAGGCTGCTTCTCTGGGCGCAGACCCCACAGGAGCTGCTGCTCTGAAAGAAGGCAGGAGCCGATAGCCATAGAGCGCAGAGTTTTGGTGATTGGTGTGAGTCTTTGCACCGAACAAATCTCATTTTGCTTCATGCTGCACTTGAGGCCTCCTTCTTACGGCCCTGACCAGGCCTGGGCTCCTCCTCGGCGAATCCTGTCTTCGTAGCTGGCTTCTGGCAGTTTAATTCTCTTGAACTAGAGAACTGTCTTGACATTTAACGTCCTTTATAGATAAACGTTGGAGGTCTAGGGGATTCTGTAAAATTATTTCAGAGCCACCAATTTCCAGGATTTTAGTTGTTTTTTTTTTCCTCCCTGTAAACGTATTTTCTATGATTGTTCACACTGTAGGGTTTTTATACCACATCCAGTCACTAAGTTAGATATAAACAGTGTGCTTCATTCGTACTTTGAATATCAGGTTCAGCATTTTTGTGGGGGAGTGAACTGGGGCCTGGGGAAAGATGAGGCTTCCTGTGGATCACTTGCCTTGTAAAATCATCATAAATCATTACACAGCCATCCACAATGTGTGCCAAGACCAAAATCATTTAAATTAGCTTGGAGTGAAAGGTCATTAAGAAATCTTCTTGGTAAGCTTATTTATTTCTCCAGTTTTGGGGGAAATTTTAATTTTTTTTTTTGGTTTGTTTTTGAGATGGGGTCTTGCTCTGTCACCCAGGCTGGAGTACAGTGGCGTGATTTCAGCTCACTGCAACCTCCGCTTCCCGGGTTTAAGTGACGTTCCTGCCTCAGCCTCCCGAGTAGGTGGGACTACAGGTGTGCACCACCATGCCTGGCTAATTTTTGTTTTTTGTTGGAGCAAGTGGGTTTTGGCTCCTCCGGGCGGGCATCTCTCTCGTGCCCGCTCTGTTGCTTGGCTGTGCTGGGTGCGTCCCTGGAGGAAGGAGCAGAACCTCTGTGTTGCTGCTTTTCATTTGCTGCTGAGGCTGCGCCTGTTTCCTTAGGTGCCTCCAAAGCTTGTCAGCAGGGGGCTTTCTAGAAAGACATTGTGAAGCCTGTAATTCTTGGTAAGGTTTCTACCTGGCGCTGTATCTGCCTGCGAGAGGGTACAGCATCGGGTCTTTTCGGGAGGCTGCTGTCTTGCTGTTGTCTGGGCCCTCGGGAGTTGAAGTATTAATACAAAATGCTCAGAATCCCAGACCCCCGTGGGGGAGGTTTGGGGACACGGGACACGCTTGACACCCGACACTGATTTTTTAGCTCACACCCCTTCACCCCCTCAGGTCTATGATAAGTGTTCTTTTCTGCGTCCCATCTGCTTCTGTGAAAACCTTCCAGGCTGCAAAACTCAGAGCAAACAGGGACCTGCCACCCCAGGTCTTTTCCAGGGAGACCCTGTCATCTTTGCACAGAAGCTGTGTGTGGATGTGTTGTGTGTTTCTCAGCCAGAAATTCGGAGCTGCTTTGGGTTTTATAGATGTTTAAGTCGGAGTTCTTAGTGTGTGTGAGATTGTAGGTTTATAAAAACACGCTTCCTTTCTGTGTGAAGTCACTTGGGTTTTCAGAACATCGCCCGTCTGGGTGCCTCACTGTGCAGGTCTGGAGCCGGCCCCGGAAGGGAGACCCTCTCTGGGCCCTTGGAAGCAGGAAATGGATTTATTCTGTACAGAGATGAGCGGATGAGCAGAGCCTGTCCCTGGGGAGCTGTCTGTGCAGCCCCTCCCTCTCGAACACACTCAAGCACTGATCTGGGAGACTCAGCATCTCTCATATCCTTCCTAACTGGCTCATCATTCTGCTTCTTTCCCTTACCCTGTGTCAGGTGGGATTCCTGTTTTTACTGAAGAGTTGCTTTTCTCCTTGCACCATTTAGGCCTCTTTGGTTGGATACAAGCATTTTGATTCATGCATCCCCCGTCCTTGGTGGGGGCCCGTTCTGTGCTGGACACAGGTACACTCTGGCAGGCTGCCCTTTGCCTGTGTGCCTGGAGGGAGCGGGCCTCTGCCCTCCTCACACTCTGGTGGGTGGGATGGGCATGCAGGTGGCAGTGGGCATGCAGGGTGGTTGATGTTTTCAGGCTTGGGCACAATCTCTGGGAGCAGACCCACCCTTACTAGGAGGATGCTGTGAGAATTTGACCTGTGGCATAGTGGGGGGCAGAGACGAGAGGCCGCATGCTCTCAGGAGGTTGGGGATGGGGCTCTTCAGCCCATCTGGGGATCAGCACTCAGTCCTGTGCCAAAGCCTGAGGTTCCTTTTTGGGGAGAGTGGGCAGGGGACCAGGGGAGAAAGCACAAAGCCCAGAAGGAAAGGCGATTATGAGCCAGGCCAGAGAACGGGCTTTGTCTAAGGGGCGGCAGGCACCACGGCCAGCAGGGGCTGATGTGTAACTAGTCTCGTGGTCAAGCGCACACAGAAGTAGAATCAGGCAGGACGGCTTCAGTCGCAGGGTCCTGGAGCTGGCACTTCGGGAGCTCAGGGCGTCCTTTCCACACCGTGTTGTTTTTCCTTTATGAAGTCGTCTGTGCTCTTAGCAAAAGACTCGTTTCTTTAACGTCTACACACAATTATATACAGGCACACACTGCATAGGGATGTGCCAGTGTTGGACCACATATACTACAGTGGTGCCATTGCATTACAGTGCTGTAATTTGCCATTGTGTTACACTTACCTACAGCCTTCAGTAGAGTAGCTCGCTGTATGGGTTTGTAGCCTAGGAACAATGGGCTTCACCATATAGCCTAGGTGTGTTGTGGGCTGTGCCATCTGGGGGTGTATATGTGTCCACGGTAGTATGTCTGCACAGGGACGAAATCGCCAAACAATGCATTTCTCAGCTCGTATCCCATTGGCTAAGTGGCATGTGACTGTTTGTGAAGTGCCATCAACTGTTGTCACCACCTGTGCAGCTCACCTTCCATCAGCCCAGGAACTGGGCTTTTCCCAAACCTTGCTTCCCTCTGTCCCTGATTCCCACATGGTCTTGCAGAGTAGCTTGTATTCCTCACACTCCTACACACTCTGGTACTACAGTCTCTCCTTAAAGATTCGATGCCTTGTTGGGAATAGATAATTATTTTGGTGCACAATCATTAACAATTATTTATGTTAATGATTTAACACAATTCATTATTGATAATTAACATGCTGATTTTTAATAAAGAAAGCGGCTACTCTTGCCTCTGTTTGAAGTGGTGTTGGTGCCCCTTTTCTTAGTGTGCGTTGGATGGGTATGTTTTGGGGAGCGTGTGGGGGTTCCCGCAGCCATGCCGGTGCCCTCTTCGCCAGGAGCTTTGCTGATGATGTTCCGTCTCTGTTTTAGGTGCTGGCTGCCAGCTGCTGCGCCCCCGATGTAGAAGGTGCACCTCCTGGGAGCTGGCCCGTCTTTTGGCTCTTCTGACCATGGAGAGATAGGACGGTCCCTGCAGCCCGCGCGAGAGAAAGCTGTGCCACCACCACCGGCCGCGCCCGTCCTTCGGATGGATCGCAACAGAGAGGCCGAGATGGAGCTGAGGCGAGGCCCCAGCCCCACCAGGGCCGGCCGGGGCCACGAGGTGGATGGGGACAAGGCTACGTGCCACACTTGCTGCATCTGCGGCAAGAGCTTCCCCTTCCAGAGCTCGCTTTCGCAGCACATGCGCAAGCACACGGGCGAGAAGCCCTACAAGTGTCCCTACTGCGACCACCGGGCTTCCCAGAAGGGCAACCTGAAGATTCACATCCGGAGCCACCGCACGGGGACTCTGATTCAGGGACACGAGCCAGAGGCGGGTGAGGCGCCGCTGGGCGAGATGCGCGCCTCCGAGGGCCTGGACGCCTGCGCCAGCCCCACCAAGAGTGCCTCGGCCTGCAACCGGCTGCTGAACGGGGCCTCACAGGCCGACGGCGCCAGGGTTCTGAACGGGGCCTCGCATGCCGACAGCGGCAGGGTCCTGCTGCGGAGCAGCAAGAAGGGGGCGGAGGGGTCCGCATGCGCCCCCGGGGAGGCGAAGGCTGCAGCCCAGTGCTCCTTCTGCAAGAGCCAGTTCGAGCGTAAGAAGGACCTGGAGCTGCACGTGCACCAAGCGCACAAGCCGTTCAAGTGCAGGCTGTGCAGCTACGCGACGCTGCGGGAGGAGTCGCTGCTGAGCCACATCGAGAGGGACCACATCACCGCGCAGGGGCCCGGCGGCGGCGGGGCCTGCGTGGAGAACGGCAAGCCCGAGCTGAGCCCCGGGGAGTTCCCGTGCGAGGTGTGCGGCCAGGCCTTCAGCCAGACCTGGTTCCTGAAGGCGCACATGAAGAAGCACCGGGGCTCCTTTGACCACGGCTGCCACATCTGCGGCCGTAGGTTCAAGGAGCCCTGGTTCCTCAAGAACCACATGAAGGCGCACGGCCCCAAGACAGGCAGCAGGAACAGGCCCAAGAGTGAGCTGGACCCCATCGCCACCATCAACAACGTGGTCCAGGAGGAGGTGATCGTCGCCGGCCTGAGCCTCTACGAGGTCTGCGCCAAGTGCGGGAACCTGTTTACAAACCTGGACAGCTTGAACGCCCACAACGCCATCCACCGCCGGGTCGAGGCCAGCCGCACGCGCGCCCCGGCCGAGGAGGGGGCGGAGGGGCCCCCGGACACCAAGCAGTTCTTCCTCCAGTGCCTGAACCTGAGGCCGTCTGCGGCCGGCGACGCGTGCCCAGGCGCACAGGCCGGACGGCGGGTGGCCGAGCTGGACCCGGTCAACAGCTACCAGGCCTGGCAGCTGGCCACGCGGGGCAAGGTGGCCGAGCCAGCCGAGTACCTCAAGTATGGGGCCTGGGACGAGGCGTTGGCCGGGGACGTGGCCTTCGACAAGGACAGGCGCGAGTACGTCCTGGTGAGCCAGGAGAAGCGCAAGCGCGAGCAGGACGCACCGGCCGCGCAGGGGCCCCCGCGTAAGCGCGCGACTGGGCCTGGGGATCCAGCGCCCGCTGGCCACCTCGATCCACGCTCGGCCGCGCGCCCCAACCGCAGGGCCGCAGCCACCACTGGCCAGGGCAAGTCCTCCGAGTGCTTCGAGTGCGGCAAGATCTTCCGCACCTATCATCAGATGGTGCTGCACTCGCGCGTGCATCGCCGCGCGCGCCGCGACAGGGACAGTGATGGGGACCGGGCGGCGCGGGCCCGCTGCGGATCACTCAGTGAGGGTGACTCGGCTTCCCAGCCCAGCAGCCCCGGCTCCGCCTGTGCCGCTGCCGACTCCCCAGGCTCTGGCCTGGCGGACGAGGCTGCCGAAGACAGCGGTGAGGAGGGCGCCCCCGAACCTGTACCAGGTGAGCAAGTGTACCCAGGTGGCCCAGGTCCTGGGATCCCAGGCTCAGGGGGTTCCTGCTCCCAGGTAAACGTATAATCAGGTAGCCTCGCTCATTAGCCCGTTACCCAGCTAGACCTGTGCTCAGGTGACACTGGGCCTCAGGACTCCACGCCCAGGCGGCCTTGTGCCCTTGCCCAGGGTCCCTGTGCCCAGGTGACTCCACACCCAGGAATCTATCCCCAGTATGGACCTGGAGCTCGCACTGCTGAGTGCAGATACAGACACCCATCAGGGCCCCTTGCAGCCCCTTTCAGTGTTTGCATACACACACCTTTGACCTCTAGGGTTGATGGTCTCACCTGAGCATCTGTAATCCTAATTTCTGAGCAAAGAACACCATCATGGATCCCTTCTGAGACAAATTCCCTCCCCTCCCTTTTCTGCCTCAGACCCAGTTCTCACCATACGATGCGTGCGCGGGCGCACACACACACTCTCTCCCTCTCTCTCTCTCTCAATTTCCTCTACTCTAGCTGGGTAGAAGACTGTCTTCAAATTGGTGTGCAGTTATAATTAATCTCCTTGGATTCAAGTAACCCTGTGGGTTTAGAGACAGTTAATTGGAACAGATTACTTTCCACATAGCAGCCATGTAAATATTTAAAGATGCTTGGCTAACTTTGTTTTCATAATTCTCCTACTTTCTATAAATTTTAAACATTTTGATATTTTCTTTATTATTTTTTGCTTTGCGTAATTGTTTTAAGTGGAAAGTGATGTTTCAGTGATAGAACTTGCATGTTTCTCCACAAAGCCAAAGATGTTTTTCCCTTCTCTGCAACGCTGTTCCTGACTGTTGCTTTTTACCTGGACTTTCAAGAGTATTAGAAATCAAAGCCCGCGGCAGGGCTCTTTATATTCTGTGGTGAAGAAGATGACTGCTATGCTATATTATTTCACAACAAAACAAAAGACAGTGTCATTTTTCCTTGTTAGAGATTTGGCCAAACCTGGACAGAGTTTATTACAGTCTTATGCAGTGTGTTATATGAGGGTCTGTTACACTGAAATGCATATTGAGTCAACAAATATGTAGAAGGCAAGTCTTTTCTCCTGTGGCAAAACCTGTGCTGAATCCATGCCCAGGTTGTGAGTGTCTACATAGGTAAATGAGTCTTCAGTAATGCGAATTTGAACTTTTCATTTCTTAGTCATTGGTCCCCGTGGGAGAAACAGGAGAACATGGCCTTCTCTGAAAATGCAGTGACCATTCAGTGAACATGTTTGGATTCTTTGAATAATTTGTCATGTGAAACCGGGTTGACCCCCTCATGACACTTGGTTGACGTCTTTTAAGTTTAATTCTTGGTATTCTTTTTTTATTTTTATAAATATAGATTTTACTGGTTATGTTCCGGCACTTTTTGGAGCACATGCTGGATAAAATATTGGGCTAGTACTATGGGTTTTTTTATTTTTTTCCACTTTGAAGAGAAATATTCTTAATATTTGGAAAAGCTCTTGGGCCTCACTCACCCCATTGATTATGATGGTGGTCACATGATTCATAAAAAGCTAATCCAGTAGTGCTTTTAGAAATAAAGAAGTTGGAAAGATCAAATGATTTCCATCATAAATTGGAAGATACTCTTTTTTCTTTTCAGTCTCATTAAATTTTAGAGACTTAATTTTTTTTTTTTTTTTTTTTTTTTTTGAGACTGAGTCTTGCTCTGTCCCCCAGGCTGGAGTGCAGTGGTGCGATCTCGGCTCACTACAAACTCCACCTCCTGGGTTCACGCCATTCTCCTGCCTCAGCCTCCCAAGTAGCTGAGACTACAGGCGCCTGCCGCCCTGCCCGGCTAATTTTTTGTATTTTTTAGTAAAGACAGGGTTTCACCGTGTTAGCCAGGATGGTCTCAATCTCCTGACCTCGTGATCCACCCGCCTCGGCCTCCCAGAGTGCTGGGATTACAGGTGTGAGCCACCGTGCCTGGCCCTAGAGCCTGCTATTTATGTCTTAAAGACATTATGTATATTTTTCTCTATATGTAACTTTTTGAGAAAGTTAATATAGATCTCAGCTGATTCTGTAACAAGACATATATCATAGTTGAATGTAACGAACAGTTGGTGATAGAATAAATAGGATATTTCAGCTTATTGAGAGAGGACAGAAATTTATGGTGCGACAGAGGCATAAAACATGCAAGAGCCTTGTTAGGTGTATGTGGGTCACTTTCCGTAATCCCAAAGGACCGTATCTTTCTACCTAAAAACACAAATTTTTCACTTACAACAGCCCCTTTAACAGTCTAGTGTAGCAACAAATTACTAATTCGTGGGTATTCCTTAAGGAGAGAGACCATGTTCCATCGATTTAACTACTCTCAAAACACTGCGATTTGTGGGATTTGGCCCAGGTCTTTCACAGGGCTAGCCTGGAAAAGAAACTGGGTATTCTGAATCTTAACGTTTAAATCTGCGGCGTTCCTTTCTTTTTCTGAAAAAATACACGCAACTTTGGAAAATGTCTGCCTTTCCTGTTACTAAAAAGATGACTTAGTTCTTTGAGCATTAGGTTATTTTAAATTCTCAGAACTCTGATGGGATGATAGGTTAGCACTGTTAGGTAGAGCAGCTATGTAGAAATTGAGGAACGAAAGATAACGGTAGTTCTCATAAGCAGCGGCCAGCCTGCCTGTGGGAGCAGAATTGAAATTAGAATTCAGGTCTATGCGACCATTCCAGTAAAACCCAGTTGTGCCATAATTTTACCCGAACATTTTCTTTGACATCTAGGCATTGATTTGAATGCTGTTTCTGGATCTGGAAATAATTTGCATTATTAGATTAACTGAAAGAAACTCCTCTCCTTTTTTTTATGGAACATGTTTTCTCAGTTGAATGTTGCCATCTATTCCTCTGGAAAGTTCCGATATTCACGTTACTTTTATCCCCGTATAAGACTTGGTCGCAGCAGCTCTCATTATTGACTTAAAATAGTAGAAGTGCAAAATTCTGAAAAAAGCCAGTCATTGGGAATATGTTACTAGATTTAAATCTTCCACTGAGAAAGGGACGTGACATGAACAGAAAGTCCGCTTTTGGACTTCACAAAAAATTAATATTTTTAGTAGGAAAGAGGGGTGAAAGGGCATCTAATTGGAGTTTATAAAAATCAACATTTCCCACATTCCCAAACACAAGGAAGCTCAGGGAGCTTAGAAACCATCACTAAGGAAAAACGAATATTGCTTTGCAAGGAGACATATAAACCTTCAGTGTATGGGCCGAAATAGAATTCTGCTCAGAAAGCATTTAGGCGATTCAGGAATAACAGAAGCACGCAGAGAGTCTGCACGTCTCTGGAAGACTTCCTCTCAGAGTTCATGCCATCCTGAGAAGTGCCTGGCTGGGCTGCCTGGTGCCCAGGCCACGGCAGATACTCTGAGGTACTCGTAATGCACAGTCCACCGTTTAGCTGCATACCATTCAAGACTAATTGTACTACTTCAGTTTTTCACCATTTCTTGTTATGCTAATATCTGTCATGTAAAATCCATATTCCGTCCTGTTGAACCCACCCTCACTTTTTAGATACTCACTGCGACTCAATAGATGGGACAGCCTCAAGTTTTAGATGACGTTGTGGGAAGTTAGAAGTACAGTTGGTCTTCTGTATCCGTGGATTCCGCATCTTTGGGTTCAACCAACCACAGCCTGAAAATATTAAAAAAAAATAGATGGTTGTTTCTGTACTGAACATATACAGGCCTTTTTTTTTGTTATTATTTCCTAAACAACACAGCAGAATTTATAGAACATTTACATTGCATTATTATATGTAATCTAGAGATGATTTACAGTGTACGAGAGATGCGGTTCGGTTACATGCAGGTGTTTACACCAGGGACTTGAGCATCCTGGATTTCGGTATTGGGGGAAGGCCTGGAATTGGGGGAAGTCCCACAAGGGACGATTGTGTTCAACTGTTTTTGATCAACATAATGGCAAATTATATGACTCAACTTAAGAGAATAAAAAGAGTGGTTGGAACAGTTGCCTTGGTATTATATGCAATTTGAAGAATCAAGGAAAGAGTGTTTAAAGAAGAAAAAAATGGTCAAGGGAAGGAAAGGTAATTAAAGGAGGAAATGGATCTACCTTCAGAGTGTCTCCTGGTTCCCATCCCCTGGCTGGCTGCCTCACTGCCGCCCTGCAGCCCAATAGCCCCGTCCTTAGAGCCCATCTTCTTTCCACCGTCACCAGCCACACTCAGGCTTTTGCCGTAAGGTATTTGCCGAGCTCGTGCTTGGAGGCTGGCTGGCTGTCCGTGCTGGTGCGCTGGCTGTGAGGAAGGCCAGGCTGTAGTTGTGCGGCTGCACAGAGGTTCCACAACCATCCTTCCTTCTTTCTAATAGAACTACAGACAGCAATTAGAATAGCTTAGGGAGGGTGAGAGACAGAGTGTGTGTGTGTGTGTGTGTGTGTGTGTGTGTGTGTGTGTGTGTTTTAGACAGGTCTCGCTCTGTCACCCAGGCTGGAGTGCAGTGGCACAATCTCAGCTCCCTGCAACCTCCACCTCCGGGGCTCGTGCCATTCTTTCACCTCAGCCTCCAGAGCAGCTAGGACTACAGGCGGTGACCACCACACTTGGATAATTTTCGTATTTTTTTTGGTAGACATGGGGTTTTGCCATGTTGTCCAGGGTGATCTTGAACTCCTGGGCTCAAGCGATCCTCCCAGAGTGCTGGGATTCCAGGCGTGAGCCATTGCACCTGGCCTGGAGGATGCGTTCACCCGTTGAAATAGGATTGAGGGTGAATCTGGCCAGCAGAAGGGAGAATGGAAAGGGGGTGAGCTGGGAGAGGTGTTTCCCTGTGTAGCCAAGCCTGCTGGGCGTGGACAGCCTTTATATGGTACTTCTTCTAAGCGTTTCCTCAAGGTAGAGCAGGAGGAGCTCTCACAGTGCCTTCGCGCATTGACTTTGCAGCCGAATCCAGTCGCGATGCTGAGTCT